CTAACGACTGGTTCGTGATTGTCTTGCAGCCAGTGGAGCATTTTTCATGAGCTACCAGTCCCTGATAATGTCTTCTGTTTATTTTTGCAATTGGTCAAAAAAAAGTCAATTCAAGAGTAATTGCCAGAAAGAAGCACCAAGCTCACATTGTATTTGAAGTGAAGAAGATAATGCAGTCCTGCTTTATATTGATAGATGGCGGCATAGCTTTTAAAAATGTAACACTACAGGCGCTGAGCCTACTTTAACAGTTGTACATCAGGCATGATCTAATATGGTGGGTGTTGTGTGAGCACTCAATCTACCGGAAAAGATCAGCCACTTTGTTAAGAGGCTCCAGCGTTAAGTGTCCAGGGCATATTGTGAGACCACTTTTGGCTCCTGTGCAAATGCATGGAGAGGAACTGATGCCTGTTTGAGGCCCCCAGTGTATGCTTTGAGTGCAACATTGGCGACATATGCTGCAGTCTCTGTTCTCGGGCATTTCAGTAGCCAAATTTTTAAAGGCAGTTGGTAAAAGTCTTACTTCTAATATGGCAGATTGTAGACTCAAGACTTGAGCCTGTAGTTTAGCCTGACAGCTGGTTGCAGTACTGAGGGGTGCTGCACCGTAAGTGTCGCCTTTAAGCTGAGACGTTTACTCGAGGCGTCATCACTCCCAAAGGAGTCGTTAAAAATTAGCGCAAGTTTCATTTCCTTTCCTCAATCTTCACCATCAAAAACCAGATTAATTTTCAATGCAGTGTTGCATTGGAAAATGGCTATGGGATTCAACCCCAGAATGACAGTTCAGAATAAATGATTACAGGTGAAATGATCTGGGCGAGTCATATTAAAATTCTGTATACGTAGAAATTCTATCTTCATGTGGCAGCCAAAACACCACCAGAGACATTGTTTGTCTGTTCTTGCCTTTAGCCATTCTGTAATGTTGAAGATTTAGATCTGAATCGAAAGTAGTAAATGTTTGCATTTGTGAAGTCGATTGCAGTCCATCAAATTGAAGTAAATTGAAGCAGGAAGCTGCCAACAGTTAAAAGTACTGAATGTTCTATATGAGTCTAAAGTGCAAGTAACTCTCAAGTTTCCTAAAATCTGTACAAAGTGACATGAATTCTTCAGTACTTTTGTGCTTTGAGGTCACTTAATTGTAAGCAGGATCTTGTGCCTTTGTTATACCTGTAAACCTGTCACTGCTCAAAATTAAATTTCCTTTGGAGACTTATCAGCTGATGATGAAAAGACTTGAATCTAAGAATGCCACTTGAACACTATAAATAATTCATTTTCCAATGGCCTCTGTGTCTATGTAAGCTAGTACATGGTTCCTCACTGTCCACAACCACAGACATCCTCAGTGAGTCAACAGAGCATCTGGATTCCAGACTCTGAACTCAGGTACAAAAGTTAAAGAAAAAACTTTCTTTCCCTCCTGCTGAGTTGAACCTGCATTGCACTTTACTGTGCTGTTTCAGAATCCTGCAGACATCAGCTGTGGAAAAATGGGTTTTTAATGTAAGCTTTGAAAATAAAATTAGATGCTCATCATTTTTAAGTCAAACAATGATTCTGAAAATTGCAATTTGTGGAAGTTGCACTAAAATACAATGGTCATATTGTTGCTGAAAACTGATGTTTACTCAGTGGAACATGACAATTTTTTCAGTCTGAAGATGCAGGTATTGCTGGTATTTGTCACCTAGCTCTAGTTTCCCATAATATTCTCTCTCAAAAGAAGGAATCACTGGGTGAGTTCAGAGCAGCAACAGTATTAAATCACGTTGTTGAGAGACTGAAACTGTTGAGATGTTAGGTTCCCTTCTCTGAAGGATGTTAGTTGAACCAGCTGGGTTTTTATGACACCCCAACAGCTTCATGGTCACTTTTCCACTTAAATATCACATGTGAAATGATGGCACAGTGTTAATGTTACTGGACTGGTGATCCAGAGCCTCCGATTAATGCTGTGGGGGTATGGGTTCAAATTCCATTGCAGCATCTTATAAGATCAATGTATAAAACCTAAAATTGTAAACTAGTGCCCATAAAGTTTTTTTTTTCCCTTTATTCAAGGGATAGGGACATCACTGGCTGGGCCAACATTTATTGCCCATCTTTAGATGCCCTTGATCAGGTGGCAGTGAGCTGCTTTCTTGAACCATTTGGTGTAGGGAGCGCTCACAATGTCAATGGGGAGAGAGCTCCAGGATTTTGACCCGATTGTGCCTACATTGTACTGTAATGATATGTTTTCAAGTCAGGATGGTGAGTGGCTTGGAGGGAAACTTGGTGGTGGTAGTGATGTTCCCATGTCTCTGTCTCTGCTGCCCTTATCCTTCTAGATGGTAGTGGTTGTGAGTTTAGAAGGTCCTGCCTCAGGAGTGTTGGTTAATTTCTGCAATGCGTCCTGAAAGTCATACACTGTGTGTCAGCGGTGGAGGGAGTAGATGTGCTGTTAATCAAGTGCCATATTTTGTCCTGGATTGTGTCAAGCTTCATGAGTGTTATTGGAGTTATACTCATCCAGGCAACACCACAATCCTGACTTGTGCTTGTAAATGGTGGACAGGTTTTGGGGAGTAAAAACGTGAGATACTTGCTGCTGGAATCCTAGCCTTTGACTTGCTCTTGTAGCTATAAGTATTAATATGGCTAGTTCAGTTCAATTTCTGGTCATTGGTAATTCCCAGGTTGTAGTGATAGTGGAGAATTCTCCAATGGAAATGCTGTTGAATGTCAAAAGATATTGGTTAGATTTTCTGACCATTATGATGACCGTAATGATCATCAGTTATCATAAAACATGATCTCGTTCTCTAATGTCCTTTAGGTAAGGAAAATTACCATCCTTACTCAGTCAGGCCTACATGTGCCTCCAGATCTGAAGCAATTTGTTGACCCTGAACTATCCTCTGAAATGCCCTAAAAAGCAACTCCGTTCAAGGGCAAATAGAGACAGGAAACAAATGCTGCTCTTACCAGCAATATCCACGGTCCACGAATAGTTTGTTTTTATGATGGTGGGATTTGAATTTGCATTCTCTAAAGAAGAACTTGGACAGATTATGAGAGAAAGGAGGCGAAGACTATTTTCTAAATGGTGGAAAAGAAATCTGAAGCACAAAGGGACTCGGGATTCCTAGTTAAGGTCTCCAGTTTAGTTGGCAGTTAGGAAGCAAATGCACTGTTAGCATTCATTTCAAGAAGGCTAGAATATGAGAGCAGGGATGTACTGCTAGGGCTGTATAAGGTTGTGGTCAGACCGCATTGGAATATTGTGAACGTTTTGGACCCTGTATCTAAGGGGAGATGTGCTGGCACTAGAGGGGGTCTAGAGGAGGTTTACAGTAACAACCCCGAGAATGAAGGGCTTCACATATGAGGAGCCCTTGAGCAATCTGGGTCTGTACTTTATGGAGTTTAGAAGGATGAGGCGATTTCATTGAAACCTATAGAATAATGAGAGGCCTGGATAAAGTGGATGTGGAGAAGATGTTTTCACTACGAGGAGAGACAATGACTCAAGGACGCAGCCTCAGAGTGAAGGGATGACAATTTAGAACTGAGATGAAGAAGAATTTCTTCAGCCAGAAGGTGGTGACTCTGTGTGGCCCTTATTGTTGCAGAAGTTATTTAAGACAGAGATACATAGGTTCTTGATGCAAATGAAAGGTTACAGGGAGAAGGCAGGAGAATAGGGTTGTGAAACTTGTCAGCCATGATTGAACGGCAGAGCAAACTCGATGGGCTGGATGACCTCATTTTGCTCCTATATCTTATGGTCTTATAGTCTAAATGGACATAAAACCTGAAGAAGTAGTAATGAATGTGAAGAATTTCATTGTATGAAAGACTATCCAGCTTCTTGATGAATGTGGTACCTGCAGGCTGTGTATCTTTCACGGTCGGCATAAAAGAATATGCTTTCCCTATTGGAGCCAGACCTTCATGCGGATGTGGTTAAAGGAGCCATCAAGTAACAGAACTAAATCAAAGACAATCACTCTTGGCTCTTGAATGGTTAGCTGTAGATTGAACTTGGCATATGCCTGTGAGCAGAGGTTTAAAGCTATTGTTTGTTTCAGTGAATCATCTTGTTTAGTTACCGAAACATATGAAGCATTCCACGTAACAGATTGCTTTTCAAGTGCAGTGACTTCTTATGTAGGCAACTGTAGCAGCTATTCTGTAGCAGCTATTGCGTGCCAGCAAGCACCCACATATGGTGGACATCAGAAACCTGAGAAGGGGAGCATCCATACAAATTTATTTTCTTGCAGCTATTTTTGCCAGGAAATAATTTAGATTGGCTGGGAATTCTGAATCGTGTTTATATTGTGCAATGCTGAGACTATTATTGTAGATAGTCACGTTGAGACCAGGCAGCACACAGGGTCCAGCAGCTTCCTTGGAAATCTAGACTCTTAGGGGAAAGTCTAACAAGAGAGAATAAATATGTATATAGCACCTCTTACGTCCTCAGAGGGTCCCAAAGAACTTCACAGTCACTGACGTACATTAGCATATGCTCAAATGCAGCATCCAGTATGGGTTCATCAAGATCCCAGAGACAGAAATGTGATTAAACAAATGGTTGACCAATTGTAAGTAATATTAGTTGAGGGAGAAATGTTGGCTAGCATACCAGAAAACCTTTAGACCCTCTAAGTAGTGCTGTGGGATCTTTTATGGCAGGTAGGATTTAATGCCTCATCTAAAGCACAGCACTTCCAACAATGTAGCACCTCTTTTGCGTTACACTGAAGCAACAATCTGGATTGTGTGCTTAAGAAGGCATGAAAGCATGAGCTGGTGTCTCCAGTTTGGAGGTTTGATGGTGTCACATTCTAGGACATGAACTACTTTAAAAGTGACCATTTTAAAATTGCAATTCACCGCTGTATGCAATCAAAAGCTCAACCTTATTGATTAATCACTCTGCCTGTGCAATAGATGATATCTCCATGCTCTAATAGTGCTTTTTTTTTGTATTTTTTAAGCTTTATGCCATTCCATGGTTTCTCACAATGTTTACACGTGAGTAGCACTCATTTTTACCTGTCAAAATTCAGGGGAGAAATCCTTGAAAATGTTTGTGTTAATTAACATAAATATACATAATATCAGGACAGAAATCTCAGCTCATTGATGGCTGTAGCATGCACTGTCTTCACAAAATCAGGCTGCAATTTACCTCTTTAATAAATTTGAGTTAACCAGAATAGGAATCACAGCATGAACTATTGCTCGCAACATTTAAACAGTTTACAGGAAATAGTTGCATGAGAAGTATTTTTATGGACCTTCTCTGCATAGCTTTTTGACAAGAAATGGTGCCCACTAACACTTACACTGATAGTTTCTATTGTGATGAATTTGTTTTGATGATGTTTCTGACTGGTGATTTTAGAGCATCGATCAAGTGGACTCCTATTTTCAGTTGAAATTTACAGCAACCAAATTGCTACAACAACCACTCATAGAATTTGTCTATCTTCCAGATTAAGCTCCAAAATAAGTTGTGAAAGTAAAGCCTAACCAACAAAAAGAAAAGTATTTAAAAAAAAAAAAAAAAATGATTTCAGACAGATAAAATGTCGGTGTTAATCTACAGAAACCAATTTTGTGTCATGCAGGGTTAGAACAATTATTAAAAACAATCTTTCTAAAATTTTGCATAATGAGAAATTCAATCCTGTTCCCTCACTAAATATATGCCTTGGTGCTGAATCTGTCCTTCTTTGTGACTATATTTACAGATGTGTTTCCTTTGCACAAGATCTTCCACTTATGGGACACATTACTCTTGGGCAACTCCTCATTCCCGTTCTGTATTGGGGTAGCCATTCTACAACAGTTGCGAGACAGACTACTGTCCAATGGATTCAATGAATGCATTCTACTGTTTTCAGACTTACCAGGTAAGAACATTGAGTGAATGGTCTCTAGGAAAAGCTGTTCAGTGAACAGTATTCAATAGGCACGTGTGTACTGTCAGGTACTGAGTTTCATCAGATTTGCAGTTTTAATGTGGCACCAGTGGCTTTAATTTCATTGATTTACTATGCCTGGGCATCCAGATAATATATGGCTTTGTAAATTCAATGGTCTTTTCAAATTTATTTGCATTGCCATAGAGAGACAATACAAGGTCATTGAAGCAATTTTTAATTCTAATACAGCAAACTTTGTTTTAACCAGCACACCCAGCAAAAATGACATACCTCAAATACCAGAAGTTTACTGTGTTGTCACCATCTCCAAGTAATCAGTTGAAGGTGCGAGTGAAAAGGTTGTCTGCTGCTAAGTTTTATTCAAGGCAAAGTTGCATTACTATTTAAGTGATTTGTGCAGTAAATAAAGTATAACAGTGATGTGCATGTCCCCTGCATTACATTTCTATTACTCAGTATGTGTTTTTACATTGATTATGTGGGCCTCTTGATCAACCAGAATATTTGATCAACTGGCAGACACTCTTGGTCCCATAGGTGCCAGTTAATAATAGTAGGGCATTCATGCTAAGAAGAAACAGTCACCTTCCCAATTTAATTATCATTATTAGTTATGTATAAATAACATGGCTCCAATGGTTTGAATTCTGTCCTGCTAGCTGCTCTGTAATGTACTTTTGGGATTAAAATCAGTGATTCTATGATTTAAGCCTTTTTTAAACACTAGGCATTTTCATGTCAAATTGAACTTTCCAGGAGCAAACGTGCTCTTCTAGTAATGGTTGAGCTTGTAATTGGAAGCACACAGTCACTGGGAGTACTGTATCTCAGGAATGATGATGTATACCTCTGATAACACCAGGTTATACACTAGAATTTGTACAGCTTACCTGTTGCATTTCTTGAATGGCTGCTGGTATTTTCCCTAAACAGCTGTTATTATTCAGTCACAAGCTGCAAGTCCGATTTATTCCAAGATCAAATGGAAAAATAAAGCAACAAGTAGGCAGCCATAATTTTACTTAATTCAGCTTGTCTTGAAAACCAAAATAGCCCAAATTCTTAGAATCATTTTTAAGAATTTTTTACGTGAGTAGAAAAAATATGAATTTTTGATGAGAGATCAGCTTCTGAATCCAGAATTTGACTCCAGAATGGTGACATGGGAATATGACTGGAACATGTGACATGAAGAACTGGACGAGACTAACCACTTCCCTTTATGCTGTGTTTTTGATGTTATAAAATATTCCATAGTGTTTCACAAAAGCATTGTCGAAGAACTGTGATAGCAACCCATGTAAATTGATATTAGGTCAGATGATCAAAAGTCAGAGGTTTTAATTAGTGTCTTAAAGGAGAAGAGAGGTGGATAATTTATGGAGGGAATTCAAGAGCTTGTGCCTGAGTATCTGAAGGCATGGCTGCCAATGGTGGAGCGGTGAAACTTGGCAACGCCTAAGAGACCAAAACTGGGGAAATCCAGAGGTTTCTGAAAATTGTAGGACCAGACAAGGTTACAAAGATACAGGTGAGTGAGGCCACAGAGGGAATGGAAACAAGGATGAGAATTTTTAAATCAAGCCCATATGGACAGTAATCCATAAGCACAGGCATGATTGTGGTTGGGACTTAGTATGAGCAAGGACACACAGGCATCAGAATTTCGGATAAGCTCAATATTACGGAAAATGCAAGCTGGAAGGCTGTTCTGGAGTTGATAGGAATAACTTGCAGTGTGATAGTAATCACTAACAATTACATTTCCTGACAGAGAGTTGTCAAATAAATGAGAACATGAAGAGAAACATTCTTGTTTTCCTGTTAATGAATGTTTGTACTTACCATATTTCAGGTCCAGTGACTCAGTCCTGAAGGATCACTGGACTTGGAACTTTAACTGTGGTTTCTCTCCACAGATGCTGCCAGATCTGCTGCAGTTCTCCAGCAAATTCTGTTTTTGTTTTATATCTTCAGCATCCACAGTTCTTTATTTTATTTTAGTTTGTATTTCATGTTGTATACAGCACTTTCTGTGCTGTACTCAATATCAGAACCTTGTTCTGCACAGTTCCTTCACTGCTTAACTGCAGGCCCTATACCTATACCACATGGACTGCAGAGGATCAAGAAGCAGCTCACTACACGTTCTTAATGGTGTCAATACAGTGTGGCACTGGAGGAACACAGCAGGTCAGGCAGCATCAGAAGAACAGGAAAATTGATGTTTCAGTGTTCTTCCAGTGCCACGCTGTATTGACTCTGACTCCAGCATCTGCAGTTCTTACTATCTCCACCTTCTTAATGACATTTGGGGATGGACAATAACTGTCAATCTAACCAGTGACGCCAAACTCCCATGAATAAATAGGGTCATAGAAATGTGCAGCATGGAAACAGACCCTTCGATCCAACTCATCCATCCAGATTCGTTTTAAATGTTGTAATTGTACCAGCCTCCACCACTTCCTCTGGCAGCTCATTCCATACACGCACCACCTTCTACATGGAAAAGTTGCTGCTAAGGTCCCTTTTAAGTCTTTCCTCTGTCAACTTAAACCTGTGCCCTCTAGTTTTGGTCTCCCCTGCCATGGGAAAAAGTCCTTGACTATTCACTCTATCCTTGCCCCTCATGATTTTATAAAGCTCTACCAAATTACCCCTCAACCTCTGACGCTCGAGGAAATAAAGAGATCTTAATTACTTGGTATGTTTCCTGGACATTTCAGTAACATTATCTTGGGGTACAGATGACCAAATCTGAAGCCTGAATTCTCTCTGGAATCATGTACAGACTGATGGCACAACTGGACAGGCCAGCTTATTAGGACATGGCATCTGAAAACTTAACAGATGGGCGATGACACTACACAAACACCACTATTACCAACTTTGTGTCATAAAAATATTTGGCCTTTTTATTCCTGAATCATTCCAGAAATGAATGATATGTACCATGTTTCAAAGCGAATGCATTATAAAAGTGGGGAGGTTTTGTTAAAACAATACAAGGCACTTGTCAGACCACTGCTGGAATACTGTGAACAGTTTTTGTTCCTTATCTAAGGAAAGATATGCTGGCATTGGAGGCAGTCCAGAGAGGTTCACAGGACTAATATCAGGTATAGAGGGAGAGGTTGAGTAGGTCGGGCCTGTGCTCATTGGAATAAAGAATGAGACACAACCGTATTGAAACATACAAGGTTCTTGGGGGACTTGACAGGATAGATGTGAAAAGGTTGTTTCCCTGTGTGGGACAGTCTAGGACTAGAGGGCATAATCTCAGAATAAAGGGGTCACATGTTTAAAAAAAGGGGTCTCGTGTTTAAAACAGGAATAAGGATGAATTTCTTCTCTCAGAAGGTTGTGAATCTGTAGAATTCTGGATCATGAGTGCATTCAAGGCTGAGATAGACAGATTTTTTTGTCAGTAAGGGAATGAGGGTTGCAGTAAAAAGGCAAGAAAATTGTCTTGAGGATTATCAGATCAGCCAAGGTCTCTTTGAATGGTGGAGCAGGCTCAATGGGCTCAATGGCCTACTTCTGATACCTTTGTCTTGTGTTCTTGAATCCACCTCCAACACAGTGGCTTAACAAAGCAAGGGGAATGCAGATTACAGAACAAGTATTTTGTGAGTGAATTAAGATCAATCACCATAGGCAATCGCAGCAAAATAAATGCATTAGGCACCATCTATATCTTAGTGAAAGGCAGATCAATGTGCTCTTTCCATTCACCAATTTATTGATCTGCAACAAATAAGAAAATCATGTTCATTTACTTTGTCTTTCATTTGGTCATCAACTTGGTTCATGTCCTGACTGTGACCAACAGAAAATATGCTTGAAAGACGGACACTTAAAGTGCATTTATTTTAAAACTCCGAAACAGGTCTCTTGTGGTGTAGTGGTATTATCTCTACCTCTGGTTGAGGAGCCCCAGGTTCAAGTCCCACCTGTTCCAGAGGACTGTAATAACATCTGTGAACACATCAAATAGAAAGTATCTAATACTCCAGTGTGTGTGTGTTATCACATTTTATATGAGCCCTGTCTTCTTCTTGTCGTACAGTATCAGTTTATTTCTCAGGAAAGGATTCACAGAAGCCAGTAACTTATTTAATGTGATTGAAGCTCTTTTGCGGTCGCACCAAAAGCCAAGCGTTAGTTGTAATGGATGTGTACAACATGAAGAGATGTAGGTATCTGTTGTGTGAGGTTCCCTCTATGGCTTACGTTGTAGATATAGTAATAGCAAATTATTAACTCTAACCCTTGTTTACTGAAATGAACTGCAACTGTGTTATTCCCTTCACTGTAATGGAGATAGATTAGTGTAATCTGCATTGCTGATACAGTGGTATCCACACTGTTTTTTTTAAAATCCCTGCTTCAGGCTATAGTTGGGCGCAGCTGCTGCTTAGGTGAATATTCTGGTTCTCCTTAAGGACAGGTAAAGAGCAGGCTGTTAGATAAGGAATCAAGCAAAGGAAGCAATGTCTTCTCCCATACATCCTCCAGAAACACAGATTTACAGTTTTAAGCACAATTTTCTTTTAATTTTCAAGTACGCCAGCAGCCCCCAGGCAAGCACATAGAAATTTGTATTGCTAAAGCTTCCATGTGATTACACAACCTTTAGCTCTCATTCGGAAACGCTGGTAAGAATCAGTGCTGCCCCCCAGTAAGTTCATCGCACTTTGTGGGGCAGTCTTACGGATGAAGCAGATCCCAGGTTGTGTGGTGAATTGGATGCCAACTTGGGACACTGCAGTTGGATTCAGTGATACTGGGCTAGAGAGGGAAGCATAAATCTGTCCAGGATCCTGTCTGTGTTGGCTGTGTAGTATTCCAATTGAAAAGTGCTTGTGTAGATGTATGTGCAGAATTAATCTCATCCATCGCATGCGAGCATTCACTTCCCATGGCAACCACAAGCAGGAAAGGCATTTGGACAAAATAGCAAAGAGTGGCTGGTGTTTATGGAACTGTATTCCAGGATTAGGGGAAAACAAAACCCAGAAAAGGAGAGGGAAAGAAATAATAATGGATTTCTAAAGAATTTTTAAGAAACATCAATGTTCAATTGATTTATATAGCTCATGGGATAAAGGAAATATACATGCATACACTCAGAAATGTGTGCTGCTCAAAGGTGAGTTTGTTTGCAGTTTATTTGGTCTTTCCGAGGTCAGTATCATTCTAACACAGTCATTACAGTAATACATTCTCGTTCCTTCTCTTTGAGTAATTTTGAGGAATGACGTGTCAGTTTGTGTTCTTTTTATAGATTATTTGTGTGTTGGTGTGTCATGTTGGCATCTGTCCAGAATTATTTTGAAGACAGCAAGCCTATTGTTTTCTTGTTTATTTATGAAGCTTATCAGTAACCCAGCATTGCTCGTGCCTTGAGTTAACCCCATCTCTGTGCCATTTCATTAACTCTTTGGATGTGCCCTTCTTACCAAATCCATTGTCCTGATAATATACAGACTTTCTTCATACTTAATTCTGTTACATTTTTTAAACACGTAAATCATAGTACAGTAATACAACTTATACTTTTCATTCCATTTACTTCCTGACAAAACATTTATTAGTAATGTGACAAAGTCAGCTTTATCAGAATTGGCCGGGGCACAGGGGTGGAGAGAGTAACATAATAGCACCTGTAGCTCTCTTCTGGTGTGGCTCCTAGCCAAAGTCTATCACCTTGTGAACATACTCAGGCAATTTCTTGTGTATGCCTGTTCCCTGAAGCATGGTCCTGGAATATGACTAATGCTGTTTCACCCAGAGCAGAAATTCCTTTGTGCAATAAGTCATGTTTTTCACTTGTAGCTACATGATGTGGCTGCTTTCATTTCACTGTTCATCTTGCTGCATCTGCAATGCTTTAGGGATTTAAAAGCCACAGTTTTTTTTTGCAACCAAATATTTATTTATCTTTGAGCTCTTTTTTAAAAAAATTTTGCTTTGGAGAATGTATGCTGGCTGAACTACGCATCTTCGGTGATTAGTTTGTTTATTTAGCAATATATAGTTCCAGATATGCCAGGTCTTTTCACTTGTCCTGTCTTATAACTGTGGATATTATGTATACAAGTCAATAATTAGTTTGATGGTTTGGGATGAAGAATGATTAAGGGGGAAGGGTTACTCACATTTCTATGTAATTATGTGATTTTCAGCAGCGTAATGGGAACCTCACCACCGCCATCATCATAAAGTGTCCACCTCCTGAAGGCACGTCCTTGGCTCATTTATCTGCTGATGCTTCAACCTGAGCTGGTTTCTTGGCCATTTGCCACTTTTTTCCATAAATATACTTTATTCATAAAATTGGATGCATTACAGAATACTCACAATTTGCAATAAAATTCAACTTGTCGCTTTTCCACATGCTCCACACAGTACTTTATTTACAAAACGCATCAGGTCCTCATCTTGAGGACAAAACACCTCTTAGTGGCAATTGTAGTGCAAAAGATATAATTTATTTTCTCTGTACGTCATGTTTCATTCTCAACTACCTCATACATTTTTAATTCTCTTAAATCATATTGTGCATTCTTTGTTCTACACGGAGCTCTCTGACAGTCGACATATTTTACTTATATTGTTTATTTACAGCATATTCTGCAGCTTGCTCATAAAATACAAAAATTATCAGAGAAAGAAAGACAATTGGTGCAAGAAAGGGAGAGATGTGTTTGCATTGAGCTTAGAAGAGATCAGTGAATGTTTGTTCTCTAAAGCAATCATGAGGGTGGTTTCAGTGAGAGAAATAGACAGCTGGGTTCAGTTGACCTAACTGGCATGGTTGAATGGTCTGGCTTTTGTGTTCATCATTACTATTTGATGTCTTTGGTGATTTTCAGAAATTGACATTGAACGTTGTGTGCGAGAATCTATCAATCTTTTCTGCTGGACACCGAAAAGTGCTACATACAGACAGCACGCCCAACCGCCCAAGCCTATATCTGATGGCAATGGAGTGTCTCGACCATCATCCTACTATTCTGCAGACTATCAGGACTTGCCCAAGACTGATCTCGTGAGTAGATCTGGGATGTCATTTTCAATGAACAGGGTGGTTAGGCGTCAACTTTAAAGACCTGGGGTCAAATTCCAGTCTATTAACTTCTGTATAAAAACTAAATCTTCCCTCTTTAGGTGTGAACAATTTTATCTGTGCTGATTTATGTGTGTTGCATATTTTTAGTGTATTTTCTTTCTTTATTGAAGGCTGTGACAAATGCAAAGTAGTTTGGCACTCCATGCATACCATCACAGGATTTTTTTTGTGTTTAAAACTATTTAACATAACATAGATATTAAATGAGTTTAAAATTGCCACAATATGTAACTTGAATACCTAATCACAGCATTGTGACTTGCCTTCTGAATCAATGTTTTACAGCAAAATATAGCACGTGCTTATCACTGCTCAGAATATGGTTTTATTGAAAACCTTATAAATGATGAAAGGTAAAGTAGAAGAACGTCATATATTTGGTAGGTTCAGTATCAAGTACAAGGTTAAATATGATCTATAAACTAGACCTTCTCAGCCTGGCGACATCCTGTATGCATAAGCATTTTTTTAAACAATCTTCCTCTTGCTGAACTTAAATGAACAAAATCCATTCATAGCAGAATCAACTGTCTGATAAGAGATTCTGTTTTAATTTCTACTCGAGCAATTCTATATTTTGGTCTGCTGTATTCACTGGTTCTACTGTGGAAAGTTTTTTTTTGTCCCCTGGAGACATTGATACCAATTTATTAGCTAGTCAATAATCTTTACTGTGTAGCAAATGGGATGCATTGTTAGATGCTCAGTATTGTTGTACGTGGAACTACACAGGCTAGTAGTGCAGAAGCAAACTATTTGACACAGCATGCCTGTGCTGGCTCAATATCAAATCAATGCATGACTGTTTCTAGCATTTCCTTATAGCTGTGTGCGGAACATTGAAGATGAAAAATAAAAAGGTTCCATTTATACAGCAAAATAAGAACAGGAAAGGGTGCCTCTAGCTTGTTCTTCAGCTCCACGGCATGGGGACAGCATGGTGGCTCAGTGGTTACTGCTGCTGCCTCACGGCACCAGGGGACCTGGGTTTGATTCCACCCTCGAGCAACTGTCGGTGTGGAGCTTGTATAATCTCCCTGTTTCTGCCGTGGGTTCCCTCCGGGTGCTCCGGTTTCCTCCCACAGTCCAAAGATGTGCAGGTTAGGTAGATTGGCCATGGGAAATGCAGGGTTACAGGGATGGGGCGGGTTGGTGTGGACTTGATGGGCTGAATGGTCTGCTTCCACACTGGAGGGATTCTATAATTAGATAGTGGCTGATATTAATTTGAGCCCCCTTGGTTCCATAACCCTTATCTGCCCTGCCTTCTAAAAATGTAACAATCTTAAATTTTAACCAAGCCTAGCAATTTTTTAGAGGAGGAAATTTGAAATATTCAACTACACTGGGTCTGATATTATTCCTGACCGGCTGAGGTTTAATTTTAACGTTATTACCCTTGATCAGGACCTAACCAGCAGAGGTAATACTTTGTTTCTATCTGTCCTATCAATTGCTTTAATCATCTTTAAGTACCTCAGTTAGATCCTGCAATACTTGTGATGATATGATGATGCTTGATGAAGATGTAACCAGATTGGAGAGGTTTATATTAGCCACTCCCAAGATGAGACACATGAGATGCTAGAAGCTACAAAGCAAAGCCTGCAAGGTAAGATCAAGGAGATAATTTACCAAGTGTTATCAGATCTTAAAAGCCCAGCTCAATGCAAAATTCGGAAACAACATTAACCTTGAAAAGCTGTTGACAACTGAGCTATTTATTCTCACAAGTCATATTCCACTTAACTTCCCATGTTGGTCAGCTATTGCAGATTGCATTAGGAAACAGTGATTGTTCTGCAAAAATAAAATCAGTCATCATTTTGTTCGCGATCATTGGACTGAATTTAAGATTTTTGTCCTGTAGCTCCATTTATTTAATGGAAACTTTTTTTAAAAAATATTTTATATGATTAAAGAGACAATGTTGCTGAAGTAGAAACTTTTCTGCCATCCTATTGAGCAAAAAAGAAACACACATTTATAGTGTGTCAAAGTGTTTGCAGTAACAATCAAATCTACCTTCAGTCATCATTTTTAAAAAGCAATTTTTTTCCAGATTAGTGTAACAGACTTTCTCCAGTGGGATTGAGCTGAGTTTTCAATGCAGGCTGTTACCTTAAAAATTCCCCAGAACATGGGGGCATATTGCTGAACCATTACTGGACTACTTTTGGCCCTATGGTCGGTTAGGACTCATTTTTAGATTAAAGGAAAAAAAAAGTTGTCATTTTCTCTGCCATTAACCTCAAATTGCCTATTCTTTTTTTAAAAAAAAATGTTAGTGGAGTGTTTAAGTCAGATGGAATTTCTGTGAATGATTTCTATTCATACGTAATATTGCTGGTCAACAGAATTCTTAAAAGCATATAGGAGGAAGGACTCTTGCAGCACAGTTGTCTTGTCCCTACCTCTCGTGCACAAGATCTGGGTTTGAGTCTTATCTGCCTCAGGGTATGTCAATATACATCTGAATAGATCGGTTAACTAAGAAGGAAGCCATTTGGCCTGAAGTGTCTGATCAAGAGCTTTCGACCAGTCTCTCACCTCTGCTATTTCCTCAATCTCAGGAGTATAAATTTGATTTGGAGTTTAATCATCTTTCTAACTGATGCAAACTATGATTGTGGTACGTGGCTGCCCTGTTGTCAAACATTGCTTCTACTCTGTCCATCACTTGAGGCAGATTTGCTCACTGGCCACATTCTCTTTACCTATCAAATGTAACAGAATGGAAGAATCAGCAGCTTTGTTGTCTCTAGATACATGACCTTCCTGGGCATTAGAGTTGCATGATTGATTTCAAAACAGTCCAGCAAGATTGCATGTGGGAAATAAAAACAAACCATGTGTCAACCTGAGACACGATTACTTTTCTTTGTGCATTTCCAAAGACACTAGACCGTAAACGCTGTTATGATCATCTCTTCAAGTCAAGGCTTTGAGGTTTTTTTCATTTATTCGCGGGATTTGGGTGACACTGGCAAGGCCAGTGTTTGTTATTCAACCCTAACTTCCCATGAGAAAGTGATTCTGAGCCACTGCCACCTTCACAACCAAGCAGTTTGCTAAAGCAGTTTTAGGGGACAGTACTGCATGATGGAGGGTTTGGAGTCACACACACATAGCTTTGGCTGGGTGGGAATGGCAAATTTCCTTCCCAAAAAGGCAGAGAGTGAAGCAGATGGGCTTTTGCAGCAATCCAGGAATTAGACAGTCACTGCCTCAGTGCCATTAGCTGCTTATTCCAGATTTAGGTGATTCACTGAAAGTTGCTGAAAAGAAACAATCAGACTCCACCTGGCAGCCAGTCGGCTGTTTCCTGTCACACAGTATAAACGGTATGTTCCGTTTAATTTGTTATTCTTGTGAATTGTCCTGATGAGTGCAAGATGAAAAACTTCGACTAGATGTGTTTTTTTTTCAGCCAATGCAGTGCGAGTTCTGTATGACCGAGCTAACTCACTGCACTCCACTTCTTTTAATTCTTTTAATTCACGTGTTGAGGTTTATCATCCTGATCTCTTAACTCCCTATTCCAGCAACGTAACCACAATGGTCTGTGTGCAGGGACAGCAAGAAGGGCATTTCTGTTCTCAGCAAGTTAATCCGATCCAAGCTTGTCAGTCCCGCTGGACTGTCCTCGATTCTTCAGGAAATAAAAATTGATTTGCAAGAAACTGCAGTGAGCAACCCCTGCTCCTCACGGGAGCTGGCGGTGTTTCCGTTTGGGGGAGCAGCCAGCTCAGTTGGCTGGATGGCTGGCTTGCGATTGCAGGGTGAGACCAACAGCAAGGTCTCCATTCCCTCACTGGCTGCGATCTTCCCAACCTCACCCCTTCTGCTGAGGCATGCTGACCCTGAGGATGAACTCACCACCAATCAGAGAGCATGTAGTCCTTTGTGACATTAGCAACTTTCACTTCGCATCATTAAAAATAAGCTTCTATTTTTCATTTCTTAGAATATTTTCATTATAAAAAAGATTTTTTGTTTGTACAGTGCTTTTAGTTGAAGACAGGAGGTCATGTAACAAACCCTCAGGACTACACTCAAGCAGATTTTACAACCAAAATGATGCTTGGATTTCTCAAAATTAAAATCATAGAATCCCTACAGTGCAGAAGCAGGCCATTCAGCCCATCAAGTCCCATGGAAACCCATGCAGACACAGGGAGAGTGTGCAAACTTGACACAGACAGTTACCCGAGGGTGGAATTGAACCCAAGTCCCTGGTGCTGTGAGGCAGCATTGCTAACCACTGAGCCACTGCGCTACCCTAATTGTAGAATACTTTGCTTGCTACCAAAGGTATCACTCTGTTCACCCCTCCCCACTTCAGAATTTATCTCCTGCCACTGTTAGCAGGCTAGTGCTACAGTATTGGATGTTTCAGTTACGCTTAGGCCTTTGCAATGCATTGGACACTGACAGTTTTACAACCATAAGCAACAGAGTAGAAACCCTGCTACTGGGGAACCTCAAACTGAAGAATTTTTCTTCTAATTATACTTGAGTGTCATGAGTGTTTCTATGACCACCTTTCTTCTCCTCACTGCCCATGTTGATGTAATACTGTACAGTTGTGGAAATGTACTTTTAATGAACAATTTCACAGTAGTGGAATGTTGCATTGTAAGGTGTCAATGAGCTTCAGATCTAAATTCCCAGCTACCATAGACTGTGATTCGGACTGCTTTCATTCTCATTTCTCCTCATCGGGGATTGTAAATTTACAGCCTAAGTGCCATTCTCTAAATCACTTCTTCTGTATTTAATAGTCACTTGGTAATGTGCTACAAAATATATGAGACACTCAAAAGCCAAGGTAGAAGTGATCAGTAAACGTTTTGACTTCTCGTCCATGTTTGTTAAGATGTTTTTCTCCCACCTTTTGGTACCAGTGTCAGCATCTC